ACTACTTCTCCGTATCAGGTATAATTCTCTCCTACTCCTTTTGGTTCAGATCTGATTCAGTTTAAGGTTCAAGAATGATCCTTGAAAACATGATTTTCTAAATAGGGAATGCGATTCCCAGTTGAAGGGAGAGAAAAATTTTTGAAATTCGCCCCTTATTCCACAATCTTTGGGTGTCCATGGGATGGATCTCTCATCCCCTCAAGGGATGCTAAAACGATAGAAAGAAATTCATAAATTGACAACCCCTAATACTTTCAGTAAAAGATATTTTATGGACTATGAACAGATACTCATTTTACTAGTTGTTTTCTTTCTGTTTGGTTGCAGATGGGTCCCTCCTGACACTGTGGGAAGGCTATTTAAAGACTCCATAATCACCTTGTCAATTGAAAGAGGAAAAATATTTTGGACATGTGCTTGGGCAGCAGTGCTTTGGACAAATTGAGAGGAAATAAATGCAAGTGTTTTAAGGAATTAGTCCATAAAAAGGAGACATTAATGGGGAATATAGTATTCAGGTGGCTCACTGGGTAAAAACAATGCCCTTTTTTTTAACTATTTTCAGTTCAGGATTTTACGAGGGATTGGAATGTTATAGCTACCTTATCCTTTTTTTTTAATTTTCATGGGGCTACACAATAGGGGGTAGCCCATCCCCCTCGTCCTTGGGCAAGGACAGTAACCACTTATATTTTGCAGGCTTCTAGCTTGAATCAGTTTAAATTGAAGTTTGATGGAAGCAAGCTAGGAAATTCTGGTAGAGCTGGCATCAATGGAGTAATTAGTGATGGCGATGGAGTTACAGTAGCACTTTATTCAGGCCCAGCAAAACAAGAATATGCACTAATGGCTGAAATGATGGCTCCCCATTATGGTTTAAGGCTTGCCTCTTCACTAAATCTCAAAGATCTGTTGGTAGGAGATTCCACACTACCGTGAACTGTTTATCTGACAGCAACGCGGACCTGTGGAGATATAGAGACACTCTAAGAGGCATAAGAAAAATGCTAAAGGAGCTAAGAGTGCAGATTTGGTGGATTCTAAGAGAAGGAAACAGCATAGCAGATGGCTTAGCTAAACAAGGGATGAATAGGACTAATATGTTTTGGGAGGCAAGAAAATGGCAACCTAGCTACTGAGTAGCTAGTACAATTAAGGGATACAAGGGGTGGTAGCAGGTGCTTCCAGGTTTATAAGGAAATACTGCTTTACAGTTAATACAATCTTTATTAATCAATAAAGTTACAATTAACTATTAAAAAATTATTCATTGTGTTGGTTAATGGTTACCAATCAAAATGAAACATATATTCATTGTGGTTACTTGAAAGCATGATTTAAAATGTCCCTAATTTCCCTAATATTTTAATGACATGTTTCCATTTCCATGGGTAGTGACACGAAATTTTACTAGAATTGATATATTACCTAATGAACACTACTAGCACTATGTGGAGTACAAGAGATAGTTTCCACGACATATTTCCATTTCCACTTCCATGGGTAGCAACATGAAATTTTACTGGAACCAACATATTCCACAGTGAACACTACACACTATGTGGAGTACAAGAGATAGTCTTATAACATAAGCTGGTGACAATATTGTAGATATGTGGAGTAACAATGTTATTATCTGCCTAACTTACATGATTGCCACTTTGATCTAGCTCAATATTTATTCCAAACATGAAGTTAAACATTAGTTTTTGTTTGTGTAATAGAACATTTGGTTGATCTATTACAATCATTTACATTTTCTATGAGTTTAAAATTTTCTTTAACTAATTCTATCATGAAGCTCTAAATCTTAAGGTTTACAGGGCAACTTCAGAATGTATTCTTTTGACTATAACCTTAGTTTCTTGTCTTTGTTTAGTGATTTGGAACAAGATAATAATTCAAAATGGTGTGCCTATGTTTCTTTTACCATTTCATAAAATAGCATTCTATATTTTGCATATTTTACAATGTTTCCACCATGTCTATAATTTTTAGAATATTGCCATATGATATTTCCAACATTTCTGGCATGTTTCTTATATTTGGGCAATCAACATTTCCACCAACACCAACATTTTAAACCTTGATTGAAAGTATTGTTAATGAAATTTCATTTACAAACAGCCATGTAGCATTCATAAACCTTGTTTTTTGCTCCCATATTTCCTTCAAGTGCATCTTATCTTAACTTTTTTTAGGCAAGTGCATCTTATCTTACTTAAAAGTGCCTTATTTTCAAGAAGACACCCTAATTTTGTAACCCTCCCCCAAACCAAGGAAAAAAGGGAGTAATAACAACCATACTAAAATTGCATAGTTGTTCCCGTTCCCCATATCTGACGGACTAAATAATCTTCCCAAGTTATTCTGTATGATGATGAAATCACTAACCTAAAAATTGAAATTACATATCCTAAATCTAAGAGCTTGTTTGAGTTTAATTTCATAGACATAATAACCCACACCATAAAAGGAACAAATTGTTCACATTTTTTCATAAACAAATTATGCATATTAAAATTATGAAGTTAACTTTGGTTCATAAAATAGATAAAGGAGATCATGACTACCTTTCGATGACCTTCACCCGATATTTGTGCTAAAAGATCACCATTAGGACTAACAAGAGCAAATGTAGGCCAGGAATTTACACCTAATTCTCTCCATAAATACATATCCCCATCATTGACAACCTGTAACAATTTACAGGATTATAAAAAGATATGCAAACTGCAGAGAACAAGAAAAACAAAAGGTATAAATAGAAATTACATAATGAAGTAAAGCAAGTTATAACATTACTACATTCATCTATAAAACAAGGATATGAAATATCCTTCACATACTTTAAAGAAGAATCAATTACTTAAAGGAGTTCTATATGCCAATATTGGTAAGCAGTTAACGAGATAACCAAAAGATAAAGCATAAAATGTTCAAAAGAATAGTGTATGTCCATATCCCAGTAATAAGAGAGTTGAAATATAAATTATGGCAACTGCCATGACAAAAGATCGTGTCTTCTTTCTCAAGCTTATCTTTTCAGATTGAAGAAATAAAACTCATCCGGGTCTGATCTACTAGTTTTTTTTCTCTCTTTTTTCCTTGGTCATAATACCAAGAAAAGTATTTTTTTGGTGGTGACTGAATGCAGTGAAGGGTTATTTGAAGGTGTTAAAACCTATTAGTGGATCGTAAGATCCTATTACAGTGAGGTGTATACCTACCAGGTCGCAGGTCGGGTACAACCATTTCTTTTGATGTTGAAAGTCTTTCATGCATAAATAGTGATTGTGTGGACTGTGTGGTCAGTATTTATGGAGCTTTTTTATTACTGTATGCTCTTCAATTAAATAAAACAGCAACTGCATCCTTTTTTTCTATTTTGCTTTCCGTCTTGATTTTTTTGAAGCAAATTTCCATCTTGGATTTTTATCATATAAAGTTAATAACCTTCTACTGAGAATGCTTAGACAAGGGTACTTTAGCCTTTTTCCTCTTCTCTTGTACTCTCTCTATATTTGGGCACCCAAGTAGGGATTCCTTGTAATTTTCTCTTTTCAAAATATAAAGAACTTTTGAGGGTGTAAACAGTAACCTACACACACCTCTCGACACATCTCTTCTCTCCCTTCTAAACCCTAGATCTGTAACTCTTGTTTAGCAACTTGGTATCAGAGCAGGTAAAGGCACTTGGGAGTACCTCTTCTGTTGATCCTCTTCCACGAGGTGAACTGCTGACGTCAGACCGCCACCGAATGACGTCAACAATCCGTACAGGTGTTGGTGGTAGTCAATGAATCTTACATGGTTTGATTCATCCTGATTTTAGAGGATTTTTGTATGACTCTTGTCCTTGTTTGAAGCTTCTATAATTTTTAGTGGTTTTTTCAAGGAGAAAATCACAGAAATTCCAAATCTGATGTCAAGCCTTGTACATCATGTTTAATGACTCCTTTTGTAAAACCTAGACTATTCAAGTCGTTTTACACTTTGGGAATGATGAGAAGTGGTCCCGTAATTTTCTAAACCCTGTATAATTTTTGGGAGATATTCTTCTCCCTCTATTTTGCTGCCAATCTAGTTTTTGGCCTCCATTTTGTCTCTTAATCGTGTGGTGACCTTGGTTCTTGGGTCTTTAGCTTTGGTTAAGTATTAGGGATCTATTTGGTTGGTGAGAAAGTGTCTTGATAGGATATGGAATCATCTAAGGATATTCAGATGGTTTCTAGTCTACTCCCGGGAAGTGCAGATATTTCCAGTGAGATGATAACTACTGTTAAACTTGATGGAACTAATTTTCTAGAGTGGTCTCAATCTACTAAACATACCATTACTGAGAGAGGTAAACTGGGATTCATCACAGGAAAGGAGATGAAGCCAAATTTTGAAGACCCGAAATTTGCAAAGTGGGAACAGGATAACTCCCTTGTTATGTCATGGTTGATTTGCTCAATGTAACCTCATATTGCCGAAAATTTGGTGAGCAATATCGCAAGTACATAAAGGAGAATAGAGTCTTTGATTTCTTGGTTGGCTTAAATCCATAGTTTGATTTTATCAGGCAACATATTCTTAGTGCCGGCATTGTCACTCTTGCTTCCACTTACTCTCTTGGACAAGGGGAAGAAAGTAAAAGGACCGCCATGATGCAACCTCCTATGATTGATCGCTCTGCCTTTATGTCATCTCAACCCATGCAAAATACTAGCAAGCACCCTATTACTAAGAAGGCTGAGGATGTTATTTGTGATTATTGCAAGAAGCCAAGACATACCAAGGAAAGGTGTTGGAAGCTCAACCCTCATTTAAAATTGGAGAAGTACAAAACCGAGAAGAAGGGCAATGCTCACTTGGCTACGACTGGTAATGATACTCAACCTTTTGATGTGCTTGACTCCTCTGATGTAATGGACAAATTTAGGAATATATTGTTGTAGCTGGAAAAGGGTGGCACATCCTCTCCATTTGGTTTTGGACCTAGTAGTCTATCTAGTTTATATGCCAAGACAGGTATTGCACTTGCTTGTTCCACATCTTTTAGTTCATGGATTGTAGACTCTGGGGCCAGTGCCTATATGACTGGTATGCCTTCACATTTTACCTCATATAAGTTAACTCTAGGGAAGGGCAAGATTATTATTGTTGATGAATCTCAGACCCCTATTTTGGGTCAAGGTGAAGTCAAACTCACTCATAACCTTTCTCTTAGATCTGTTCTTCATGTGCCCCAGTTACATAAAAATTTGTTGTCTGTTAGTTCTCTCACAAAATCTCTAAATTGCTTAGTGACTTTTTTTTTCCTACCCATTGTGTTTTTCAAGACTTGAGCATGGACTGTCAATCCATACTGAGTTTTGTTCAAATGAGGAAATGAGTCTTTTTTTATCAATAACAATGAATTTTATTATAGATTGAGAAATTACATAGCTAAGGAGCTAAAGAATCTTAACTCCCTAATACATCAAAGTACACCCAAACCATAAATCAATTACAAAACAGCCCAAAAAATATATAGTTTTTGTTCACCCCTTGCCTAGCTAAACCATCTACCAATGAGTTTGAACTTCTCTTTACCCATGTACAACTAACTTCAATGTCCTTAGTCAACCACTTAAATTTCCTCTTTTCATTCTAGTAGTTCCAGATCTTGGAATTGTCCTCTTTTAACCAATTCAATACAATTTCAGAATCACCTTCTATGATCAATGTCTTAATATGCATGTCTTTAACCCTTTGTGCCCCTTCAAGAGCTCCTAGTATCTCAGCCCTCAAGGAATCTCCCACCCCAATTGGACCAAAATACATAGCTAACAGATTCCCTTTTTCATCTCTTATCACTCCCCTATTCCAGAGGGCCCTAGATTGCCCAAACTACTGCCATCAAAGTTCAGTTTGATAAAGCCGCGAGGTGGAGGGGTCCAACAAGAACTTGAAGCTTTCTTAGCTGAAGTTGATTCTGCAATTTCCTTCCAATTTGATCCATACTAATGTTTGGGGCCCATATGCTATCCCCTGCATGGGTGGATATAAATACATCATCCTCTTCATTGATGACTACAATCAGTATACATGGCTCTACTTGATGAAAAGTCGAGATTAAGTTCCTATGATTGTTCAAAACTTCATGAATATGGTAGAAACACGGTTTGAGAAAATAATTAAGATAATAAGATTTGACAATGCCAAGGAATACTTTGAACATCATTTGCATAGATTTCTTGAAGATCGGGGCATTATTCACCAAAGTTCATGTAGTCATACTCCACAACAAAATGGGGTGGTTGAAAGAAAGAACAAGCATGTGGTTAAAGTTGCTCGAGGTTGACTGTTTCAAACTCATGTTCCCACTCGTTTCTAGGGTGATGCTGTTGAGACAGCCGTGTATCTCATTAACAGACTTCCGTCAATGATCCTTAACCTTCATTCTCCTCGTCAACTTCTTTTCCCTGATGAACCTCCTTTTAATTTACCCCTCAAGATTTTTGGTTGTGTTTGTTTTGTTTATGATATGAGTCCTTCCTGGCGTAAGTTTGATCCTAAATTAGTTAAATGTGTTTTCCTTGGTTATTCTCCAGTCCAGAAAGGCTATAAATGCTTTGATGCTCTCTCTGGCAAGAGGTATGTCTCTAAGGATGTTACCTTTTTGGAGTCCTATTCTTTTTTCCAATCATCCCGTCCTTCTCTTCAGGGGGAGAATGCAAGTGAAGAATGGACTCCCTTCTGCCTTCCTGTTCCCACCTTTGTTCCTCCTTCTCCTCCCTTTCTTCCCAGTAACAATGGTATTCCTTCCCCTCCTCCTCCTCCTATGTAATCGACCTCGGTCCTGGCAGCAGTTTTTCATCAAGTGCAGTAAGAGGGTGCTCCTGAAGCAGAATGCTCATCACAAGATTCTTGCACTTAGTGTAGATGGTCCTTGGGCCCCAAGATTCTTGATAAGAGAAGCAACAGGATTAGCAGAAAATATGAACAGCTCATCAGGTGGAGTCCAAGGGCTGCAAACAAGCCAACGGATGCTCCAGCAAGACAAGGGATTACAAGGGGTTACAAAGGAAGATCTAATTTGGGGGCCTGGGCACAGGGCTAATTATTAATATAACTGTTTTTTTGTTTCTACTCTAATGTCACCCCAGTGCTGTTGTATATGTTCCCTTCATTACAAACTCATTGGGATATCAGGATTATTGTGTTCTTGATACTTAATTAAACTCTCTTGATTACTGTTGCTGATTTTAGGCCCATATCAAATCCCAAACATCTGACTTACCGGATGTGTGATGTTATAGCGTAACACTGCATTGCGAATTGCTTCCAGGTCTTTCTCATTATCAAACTTTGCAGAATGCACACCGACAACAGTGAACTGCATAGATAAAAGCATAAGAAACTACTAGAAATGAATATATCAATGGAAAACTCAGTGAGTCCATTCAGACTACGAAATCATTATATTTCTTCCTTGAAATGAACATAGGCCTACCACAATATTACGTAGACACATACATATGCACATGTTAAAAAGAAAACATCATAATCATCGTTTCGTACCCTCCACAAGACCTGGAATTGGCAATGCAAGGCAAAAGCCAGTGCAGAACACAGAGTTTCATTTTCTAGGAGACAAGGATCCTCTTGCTTTCATTTGACACTCTAATATATGAATCGTGACATATCAAAATGACAAAATAATGCTGATTTGGAAAGGGGAAAGAAACCACTGAAGAAAAAATCAAGTTTCTTCATATTCATGCACCAGTGGCACTATCATGATTTTTAGGTAATTTTGGTTAATTTAAGTTTTTTTGAAAGTTATTTTCTAGTCAGTTTGTAGGAATATGATCAATTATCTTAAAGAGTCATTCTTTCAGAGTTTTTTGAATTTTGTAAAATTGAAACTGGAATCACATCACTTTTCTTTAACCTATTTTTTAAGAGCCAAAACTTGCCCATGTTGCATGATTTGGTATCATTAGATAGGTTATTGAGTTACCTATCCAACAAGACCAAGATTTTGTAAACCCAATATGTTTCAAGAGAGTTATTGCCATTGTACTGTAAGGTGCCAGTTTGTCAAAGGACTCTACGCTTTCTATTTTTAAGCTCTATCTTGCAATTGTTATTGATTTGTTCACTTTAATAGGATTAGTAATGAGTATCTAGACTTATTTTAGGAGATGAAGTCATTATTTAAATACCCCTATGTGTCTATTTAATCAGTTTCCTACTTGAAATTAGAGTTCATAATGGGAGATCTGAGCCCTTGCATTGAATCTATGTCATTGACTAAATTTTTAAAGTCTATTTGGTAAATAAAAGTTATGTTTTAGTGAATTGTAGTTGTGGGAGATGACTTTAAGTTTATCTTCTCCTTCAGTTTTCTATTTTCCTCTTCTGAATGTGTAATATCTTTCTTCTCTTTCAGTTTTCTATTTTCCTCTTCCGAATGTGAAATATCTTTCTTCTCTTTCTCTTCTCTATTTTCTTCTACATTCTTGACCAGAATCCCTTCTATTTCTCCTTTTTTATGATAAATGGGTGATGTGTTCATTAAAGAAAAGAGGCACAGGGAACCCCTATGTTTCGACTGCTGCTACAGTAGTCCGAACAGGAAGAGGAGAAGAAGAAGAAGAAGAAG